TACATTATGGACTACATCATTTTATATATTGGTTTATATCTTGCTGTCAGTGCGCTGTGTCTTAACTGTGCAGGGTTTTCAGCAATAAAACTGACAATATACCAGAAACTGAATAAAATCCACAGTACAAACAGCACAGCTTGCTCAGGAGGAAATTTTGTTTGCAAGGAGGTTGTGGATACTCTTGTCATGATGGCACTACTGAAATGTGTTAAAGCAAGCTGTTAACACAGTCAAAATGCCAATTCACAAATCTGTAAGCACATTCCTGACATAAACATAAATCATGTGAGAAACAGACTCATTCACCTAACTCATCACCGAAAAATAGGAAAATAAATCTGCTTTTGAAGCATATTATTAACTGGCACAGTCAGCTTGGATTAATTTAACACAGAAAATGATGTTTTGGTGCTCTTCTCTTCCCCCACCACACACACATACATACATCACTATCCTCTGCCTGGTCTTATCCATTCCCCAGCAGGCCCTCTGCCTCTCCTTCACTCTGTCATCCTCACCCTCAGTCATCAGTAGCCAATCAGGGAGTAGTAATGAGCCATGCCATGTCTCAGAGTGAAGCTATCCTGGAACATCAGAAACTCAAAAAATATGACCTCAGATACATGGGAGCAAAATTTGACCTCCAGCTTATGGCCATTACATCCTCTGGATACATGTTTTCACCTGAAGTTTTAAATCAGGGTGAACAGATCGCAGTGAAAAGTGATCGACACAGTGTGACAGCGTGGCCTCGTAGATAAGACAACAAATATCCTTCAACCACAAACTATCAAGAACGCTAACAAGAACCTACAGCCTACAGGTCAGACTACGAGACTGTTCACACTGGACTCTGTTTGCCATGTTACTGGGAAGCTGTCTTTCATCTACACAAATTCACTTCAAATTCATTTACAATCTACACAAGGTCACATGTTTCACTCTGCCGGCACCAGAATGAAAAAAGTCAAATCCTTTGTGTCTTGGTTTGACATTTACAGGCAATTTATTTCTCCCCTCTGTGTTTTTTTTTCTTATTTCATCAATTCTGATTTAAACAAAACCTAAACCTACTTATCCACATGCTACTTTGAGGTTTAATTGGTTTAACCAGCGCACTGGTGGGTGGCAGTTCTCATTCTCACTGCAGGGAGCTGCTAAGAACAGCTGAGCGATAACGTCCCTGAAATCGCTGCAACAGTGACGGTGGTGGCAACAATGATGATGACAGACCGCAGGGCCCTGAGGACTTCAAAGCGTTGGCAGCATCTATACAAGAGCTGAACATCACATGCAACACGGTCTTCAGGTGTCAGCGCACTGAAGCAATAAACCTGTGCAGCCTAGTGGTGAGGTGAGGGAGGAGACGAGGTATCCAGACTGAACCCCCCAGAGGCAGCACCCACCCTGAATCCTGAATATCAACTTAGATGAGAGTGTTGTTATTACCATTTTTTTTTTTTTACTGCAGCAGTTCTCTAATCAGTGAATCTTACTCTCTTATTTACACAATGTTGATGATAAAGCACTGGTAGTAGCAGCACTGGTTTAAGGGTGTAGCTAGAACTATAACTATAACTTTTTTGCAGTATTTATATTAGAGCTGCAACAATTACACATTTGAAGATGGACATTTATCACAATTTTCGGCCATTTTATTGATCAAACAATGACTTGATTAATTGAGAAAATAACTGATAGTAAATTATCTTTATTATTATATTCTTACTATTATTACCAATATATTATATACACATTTATTCCACATTATTAGGGTAGACCAAGAACAGGTGGGACAAATGCGATCTCTGTGGAAGTCTTGAAGATTGAACTTATATATATATATATATAAAATCAGATCGCCCATCCCACCCCCCTTTCTCATGTTAATCTAATCAATTTGTTTCCCCTTTCCTCACACTAAATTTTTACATGCAGTAACATACATCTCCTTCTCCATCTTCAGCTTTGGCTCGGTCATGTGACGTATTGCGGACAGTTAGAGGTGACCGGACAGCTGTGCTTGATGAAAATGTGAAAAACATTTCCTGAATCAGGATGCTGTGACTAGACACCTTTATTTTTTTAAACATACAAACCTGAAAATATGGATATTCTTCTGATTACAGTCTCAATCAATCAATCAGTCAGTCAATCAAGCAATCAATCAATCAATTGCAAACCAAACTACTTAAGTTTTTGGACTTTTTCTCCATGACAACAGGTTTACTGGACTATGGCTTAGGTGCATTTTGGTCATTTGAATCTTGTGGTGGAAATGGTGAGGAGTTTTCAGACCTTGGACGTGTTTCTTTCCTCACAAACGTAAGGAGCTACCTTTCTGTCGCACATGCTCACCTGCTACAAAATGAAAAACAGCTGTTGCAGTGACATGAAGATCCTGAAATGCTTTGCATGTACAGAATCAGGAGACTTACAGGTTTAAAACAACATAGGATTTGTCACGTATGTGTGAGGATTGAGTCCAGTACAGATCAAAATAGACCTAAAGTAGTGCTATCAAGACCAAGGTGTCCCCTGGGTGGGACCATGTTTTTTAAAAGGTTATGAAAAGGAATTACAATGTCTAGATATGTGTGATTACTAATGCACTCCCATCCTGTCAAACAAAAAAAATAACTTGTCTGACAGTGAAAATAGTTCATTTAAGGATACACCAGCTGATTTCCTGTCTTGCCTGATAAAACTATAACTCACTTTTTTTTTTAATTCATTTTCCCGCGTCTTCATGCGCATCTTGCCCACAGCAGCTCCCCCATGTCACATCTCAACTAGGTCAGATGAAGACGCCTGCTGAACCCCTGAAGCTTGCACACTCTATATTATCAATAAACAGTCATCTCACATAGTTTGCCCTACTTCATGGGGAAACTAAGATGTGCTTCAGGCTACCTGCCACACTTAAAAGCCGCTACGCTGATGACACATGTACCTGCAGCCTGCAGGTACATGTTCATAAAGATCTGTGCAAGTTCCAATACAGTTTTATTGATGTATGTAAAAATATTGTCTCAGATAAACCATTAAAAAAAAAATAGTTGCTTGTTTACTAACTAGTGCTACAGCTGATAACACAATTGTAATATAATATTTCCTGTGCAAATATAATTTAGTTCTCTTCCTCCTTACTTTCATTTAAGTGTTCCTTATTCTACCACATTCTATTCATATTTAATTCTTTAATGTTTCTTGTCTTATTGTTGTGGTTTCACTGTGTGTCGTATGGAGGGGCTCAAACTACACATCAGTGCTCGACCCTGTAATTTATAGTCCCAATAAAGCCAAACAAACCAGTTTCAATATTTGAGACAGAGTTTGGGCTGTCTGATGTCTGGATTAAATGTGTGATTTATGTAAACGTGCTGCAGGGTTTCTCCTCAGGAAATTATTAAGCAGAGGAGACAAGCCAGCCATCTCATCTCATGATCAGGTTAGTTTGGAGGTGACAGCCTCAACAATTGTCACACAATGAATATATGGCATTTGTTGTGTGTAAAGGTACATTTGCTTCTTCCCTTTAATGTCAATGTTACATTCATTCAAATTGTTTTTTTTTTATGTTTTATTTTTTATACAGAGTTGTTTTTTTATTTCAGGTACAGTGTCAGTTATATGACAATGAGAAACCCCGCACAAAGACAGTAATGTTAATCTTTAATTGATTTAATTCAGCAAAGGTCTTGTATAACTTACTGTGTTTTAACAACATTTAAAGTATGAGTTTGGTGGTATTCTATATTTCCCTTGAAATCTGTCTCTGTCTGTATCTCTCATTTAAATCATTAAATTTAAATGCTCAGCAGTTTCCTAAAACAGCTGGTCACTGTAGTTTTTAGTAAATGTTCCTCAATAGCGCATTTGTTAGGGACTATTTTAATTGGCGGATTAATACACATTAGATGCTCCACTGTGTATTTCTGGCAGGAGTCTGTATGTAGGATTGAGTCAAAAATTAACAACGGTGGCATTCATCGTAATGAAAGAATGTCATTAATGGAGCACTGAGATATAAAGATATATCAGACTTTTTCTACAAAGGCAGTGCTTGTTAGTAGGATAATTTCATATCAAGAGACCTGTCCAAACACTGCCAGATCCTCTTTAATTCATAATTAGGATCTCCATATCACAATTCCTGTTTTTTTTAGTTGTTTTTTTTTTTTTCTTTTGTATATCCAACCTGTCAACCTGAACCTGACTTCTCACATAGGGCAGGTGAAGTAACAGAAAATAGAATCACTTCTACCAGCAACACAATACCAGCTTTAATCAACTATAATCCCTATGAAAACACTGATTTCTACTGAGTCATTACTGTAGATCCACTGACACAGCATGAACTGATCCTGCAGTGCAATGGGGTGGAGCTCATTCTTTAGAGCTGAGCCAGCCATGCCTGACTGTGGAGACTCATGACTATCTGTTAGCTCACACACAAAGCCGACGAGGAACAAGCTGGACGAGGAATTCACATCAGTCATCCGTCAGACGCTGGTACATTCCTGACTGTGACTGTCTACTGGCTCTGGACCTGTATGGTAGATGGCCAAGTGTGATCAACTGGACTTCTACACTAAGTGTTGGAAGTAGCAACTGACTTCTGGTGAAGTTATCGGGATAAAAGCAGGGCAGGTGCAGCCTCACAAAGCCGCTGATGAATGACTCCCCACAGATACGACATGTCTGACTCAGTGAGTGTAACTCAAAGGGAAACTCCCACAGCTGCCAGAACATGAAGTCAGCGTTAGCCGGCTACTGGAGTTTGACCTGTCCCAGCCAACGTTACAACACTACTTAAACCCTCCGCTCTGTGGCTCGACAGTGACCTGAAGCAGTCGCTGTCTGTGAACAGTTTACATCTACAGTTTAAATAAAAGTTAGAGGCTAAGCTAACGCACTGTCAGCTGTCGGCTCAGGTAAACAAAGCTAGGATGCTAACAGTAGCTACAGCTAACATTAGATAGCCACAAACTTACAGTAGTAAGCCACGACCGGGTCCCGTTTGTCATGCTCCTGTGCGGTCCGGAGGTGATGCTGGATGGGTTTGAGCTGAGCCGGTAAAGCCATGTCTGTTAAAACCCTCGCTTGGGACGAAAATACATCAATGGAAGTGAGACCAGGCTCCTTGTTGTTGTTAGCGAAAGTGTTTCTTTCACTTCCGCGGTTATAGCCAATGGGAGCGTCCGCCTACGCGGGACAGGTGACGTCATAAGCTGTTCAGGTGTCCCTCGTGGATCAAAGACAGTTTTTAATTTTTGATCATCTGATGATAACTTAGCTGTTTTTTTCAATTTATGATATTGTGTGGTACTACAAAAATTCTAAAAAATCAACTGAATTTTTTTCAGTACTGCTTGATATTGTTTTTTTCTTTAGTCAAAGCAAAAAATCCTTACAAGCTAGAAACTTTTTTTTTATTGTTTCTAGTTTCTGATTCTGTTAATGAAGAATAAAAGGATTAATTTATGAAAACAAAAATCAACAAAAACCGTTCTGTTATCTAATTTAATTTGGTAATTTTGTAAATTTTGAAACTACATAGTCACTTAGCTAATTAATAATGTGTGTATAATCAACATGTTTGATAACTGTGCCCTTTACACTTACTTTTTAAAAATGTCAAATATTAATATTGTGTGTACATTTTTTATATCATATTAAGGACACAGTGGATGTCTTAGTTTTGTAACCATTTTTCAATGTTTGACAAATTTTCCAATAAAAAAAAAAAGTGAGGACAGTTTTGAAACTTCTAGGATGTTGAACTGTACTTTAAGTTAAAGCAGAAAATACTGTTTTGTTTCTGAACTGGTAGTATCTGAAATTAATGTATCATTTTATTCATTCACAATTAATAAAATGATAAATAAAATTATAGAAATAAAATATAGAACAGGAATTTAATAGACACAAATAGACATAGTCATTATCAATATTATATGTAATAATAATAATGATAGAAGAATTGAGAGTGACTGCTTTGCAGAAAAAATACATGTATTGCCAATCCTGTCAGAAAAGAAACCCCTAAACACATTATGTGAAAGTAGAGTGAACATTTATCAGGTAAAACAAACTTTGAGTCAGTTTGTCATAGACACTGAGTTTGGATCACTTATGACAAGAGCCATGACAAAGTTCCACCCGAGATATTTGGTTTGAAGCCAAGCTAAAGCCATGATCCTCCTAATTGAGTTTGCAGTAGGGGACACAAGCCAAAACATATTCACAATAAACAAAATGAAGACATGCTGCACAAAGAAAATCCAAATGAGTACTACAAATTGAACAAAACTGCATTTCCAAGAAAGTGGGTGGGCTTGGCGCAGAGAGTCTGTCTGTTTCAGTTAAGAGAGTTTATGGCTCATGTTGAAACTGAGAACTCTGATCATATTGTGGTTGAGTGAACCTCTGACCCGAGAGGTTCAACAGAGGCAGAACTATAACAGTTCAATGTTCTCAGGGGTTTTCAGAAAGCCTGTCATATTTTGACTTTGCTAAGGCCTGGGTTCTTGGTGTCAGTGGAAAACTTTGTTGTTTGTTTTTATGTGGTTCGATTAGGTTCTCGCTGCCCAGTTCCTAGTGAACCGTGCATTGGAACCAAAAGTCACATGAGGTTTGGAAAGCTGTTGTGGTTAAGGGTTTGGGTTGGGAGTTTGTGAGAATCCGTGGGCTGATGGAGAGATGAAAAGTTCCAGTGCGAGCCCACCCACTTCCTTGGTGATTCATGTTTGCACTCCTTGGCTCTCACTATACCAGACTGTATCCCTTCTTTTGTTGATGGAATCAGCTAGCGTTGGCCGCACCCTTCCAGATGCTATAGACATGCAGACAGAGAGAGGCTGAATCCAAAAGTTTGGTTTCAGAAGTGGTAGGGGGAGACGTATTTACCCAAAATTAGGCAAGAAGAGGTGCAAGTTCTTCTTTCAGCTATGAACAGCATACAGCTCCTCCTCTCAGACTGAATATGTCTCCAACACATTGTATATAGCCTGACAGGCAAAACCCAGGGCATGCAAGTCCACCGACGGTAATGTTGTGGGCACACCTAACCCTAACCCTAGCTGGTGCAGACTCACAATATGGATGAAAATAAAGGAATAGCAGTAATGTAGCTCAATAAAAGAATCACTCATTTATATTCAATGCAATGTACAACATAGAAGCTAATGTGATATAAGACGATTTTTGGTTTTCATTTGGCTAGGACAAAAATTGGACCAGCTACAACATGAGGATCCTAAGCTGAGTATTTCACGTACTTACAACATTTCCAGTGTTGATCCTCATCTGATGGCAAAGGTTTACTCTGTGTACCAGCCATCTATGTCTGTTGTATAATGCAGAACAACCCTGAAAATCTGTTGCATAAACATCCACTGTCAGGAACTATTTAGAAACATGGTCTCAGATGGGTTACAGGGGCAAGAGCTTTCATTCATACGAGAACATTCATTTACATGGAAATGAGTTAGGTTTTAAGTCATGTCTGACAACTCATTTCATCCCCTCGTGGCCCAGCATCCTCACAGACTTGACATGATGATGATGATGATGATGATGATGGTGAATATGACACAGTATGTATGACTGAAGGGTGGACGTTTGGATCAATCCCGAGAGACCGTGATGCAAATGTCTGGAAGTGAACCTCCTTCCTTTCACCTACATTAACTTTGTGTCCTTTCTTTGCCTTCTATTGAGTTTGTTTTATATAAAGCACTATATAAATTAATGTAATTTGATTTATGAGACCCGTCAGTTAAAATGGGGTCGGGCTTTGTTTACTGCTGAGCAGCAGTGGACATGAGAGTATGTTCCCGCTGACTTTCTCTACCTTTCTGAGGAATCAATCCATCTCTCCATCCATTTATCTAATCCTCTTATCCATTTATCTAACCATCTAATCCGACTGCTTTTTTGATCTTTCTTTTTTGATAGATTTATTTATTGTCTATAAAATGGGTAAAAATGACCGTCACAATTTCCCAGAATGCAGTGTGACATCCTCAGATATCTTGTTTTGTCCCAACAACAGTCCAAAACCCAATGACAATCATTTACAATGATTTATAACAGAGAAAGGCAACAAATCATCGCACATGGGGAGCTAGACACAGTCAATATTTGCATATATAAAGTTTTTTTTTGCTAAATAAATCATCAAAACTGATGTTCGTTGAATTATGAATGAATTTACCAATTGTTTGAGCTCCAGACTTAATTGACAGAATTAAAAGAAGAAATTTAAAAGGGTTTATCCATCACTCTTCAGTGGTGATTGTGGAGTGTGTTTGGGTACAAAAAAATTGCCCGTCCAATCCGTTCATCATTTTTATGAAATAAATAATCTGACGCCAACAAAAAATGTAGGAGAGACCATGGACAGTTAGAACAATTTCACATTTCTCTCAGTTACTCAGAGGCAATTTGGACTAGACAAGTTACACCTTTATATATTAAACTTACATACCATTTAAAGATGATTACATACGTATCATTCACTATATTTATTTGAATGGAGATTCAGATGGGAAGTCAGATGCTGTAACTTACACCAACCCTGGGGACAATTCCAGCACAGATCATGTGTCAACTGGACACAGACCAACCACAACCACCACAGCACAGCTACGTTGCTAGCATATCTAAGAATAGTTAACACATAAGATAACTGGTCAAATGATTTGCTGAATTGTTTTAACAAAATTAATAATAATCGCGTTAGTTTCTCAATTCCTTCTTAAGTTCTTTTTATAGTAAATATTTCTACATACTGAAGTGAAGTCAATAAATCAATCAAAAATGAAACAAAGACAGGTGTAGGACATTTTTAATCAATCATCTCAAGACAAAACAAGTAGGAGAATTACTGGTCACCTACAGTAAACAGCAGCACTCAGACAACAGAGTTTTGTTTCAGTATGTGTTGGTCATAAAGTGTGCCTCTTTTTCTTTGACATAGCTAGGTTGTAGACATTTGTGAAGGAAAAAAGTGAAAGAGTTTAACACAAAGACAGGCAACAGCTGATGAAATATGAAACAAGTCTTAGCTCCATTCTCACAACATATAACAACATCAGTAAAAATCCAAAATATAAAAATGAAGATTCATTTTCAATGTGGTGTAGCCCATTATATGATGCCTCACAGTTAATGAAATTCCACAAGTGATCTTGATGTTTGTGGTCAAAAAGCATCAAGACATATTAAAGATATACTCCCTGACTTTGTAAGTAGTTCTCAGTGGTACCCCAAAAACCCCAATATATCTCCCAGCTCATTGTTGATATTTTACAACTCGGTACAATCTACAGTGGAGTTCATCAAAAGAACAAAAGTTTATCCTTAAGTTGTGCATTAGGCCAAAAAACATTCCAATCTTTATTCACCAGAATCTTATCAATGACTCAAACTTGTCAAAATATGCCATCTGCTTTCCAAGTCACTAAATATAAGTCAATCATGCTAAGACAATTAACCACAGCTTCATGTACAAATTGGAACAAGCTCTTAACCAAGACTAGCCCGCTGTTTTCAGCCTATGGAATAACTTTTATTTCCAAAAAAGAAAAGAGAAAATAGAATCTTGGCCAACCTGAGAGAAAGTTATGTATTTATGGTTAACTCTTGATCTATTTAGTCAAGAGTAGAAATACTAATGGCCTGGTCACACCAGAAAGGATGAGTGTATTACTGCAGACTCTCCCTCGTGGTCACTTGTGGTACTGCCCTTAAAATGTATTTTTTCCCATAGACCAGCATTGTAAAAGAGATGTTTGTTAAACTGTTGACTGAGGTTTTCAGTGAATATACTGAAATGAGTTGATTTTGCTTCGAAATTATGCTGTTTTAAATGCTGACGTGATCAGGCAATAAGACCTAAATATAAACAAAGAGATGTGGCATCAAAGCAGGGAAACAAGGCAAGTGACAAGTGATAAGTCATGTGCCTTTTCTCCAAGCGAAAAAGTTGCTACAAATACTGCCTAATATCCAGTGAGTTTGTATTTTCAGCATTTTTTCCAAAATAATTTTTATGAGCTGAACTGAAACGTAATATGGTGATTCTGAATCAGGGCCATCTTTCCACCAATGGCCCCAGATTTGATCAAATCCTTTTACATGCTGTATTCTCTTACTTCAGCTGAACAGGACAGATGTGGAATTCTACATTTTTATTTCAATGTAAACAAGGCCTAAGTCTTGGTGACAGAACTTTTAGAGGCAAAATTTAAAACCATCCTCCACTCACAGATACCAGAACGCAAAGACGAACCCAAACCACAGGAGTCACATACCTGTTTCAGATCCTTTTAAACCCTGTCAGACTAACCAGGCCTTTGGTACTGCAGATTGGGAACAATTGGAGTGGTCCCCCAGGGCTGGAAAAGCTTATTTAAAAAGGTTTAAAAGGGTCTGAAATGAGGGTTTGATCCACTTTTGTCTGGTAATGCAATTTTGTACCTGAGATGATAAACAGATTGCTGAAAACTTCATAACAAAAGTTGGATGGATGTCTGATTAAAAAAAAAACATTACAAAACATGAGAGGTAATCATTTTCAAAATACATCGACAGTGACACCAAAACGAAATTACATTACATCAAGTATTTTGTGTAAGCTAGGAAAAGGTGATATAAAGAGAGTGGGGGGTAGAGGACACCCTTGATGAGTTTCACAGTAGCGGAGAGATGGTTGAGAATCAGACATGGACAAAGACTCAACCATCTTTTCAAATATATTTGATCTGAATGAGCATTTAGTTTTCAGCCCACTTTTCAGCCATAAAAATAATAGTTATTACATTATATATTATATATATATTTATATATGTATATATTTATATATATGTATGTATGTATGTATGTATGTATGTCTGTCTGTAAGTGTGTATGTATGTATGTGTGTATGTGAAATATATGAAAACTCTAAAAACATCTTCAAATTTCTATGCTGATTTTGTCCATGTCTGTTGAGAACTACACTACACAGTAATATTTTTAACACTAGCTGAGACCTCATCCATCTCAACTTGGATGTTGGGACATATTAGGTGGTTCAATACCTATTTTGTGAAACAATGACATTGTCCAGAACTGCTTCCAAGAAGTCATCAATTTGTTGAAGTATTTCTTCTTGTTGGCAATTGATGATTTTTTTAGATACTCAAAAAACATGTAACTTGTAATACTATTAAATAATTTCAATATTTTCATTCCAACACTGTTTTATTCCAAATTTAAATAATATTTTAATGTCATTGATCTAGGCTATAAATTTCTTTCAAGTTTAAAAATTTAAGCCAGGAAGTGTTCTGTTCCTTGCTTTTCTTTATATTATTACATCAAACCTATTTTTATATTAATTTAGTATCCTTGTTGGAGATCTTTACCCTCAAAGAGTAAAACACTACAATTCAAGCATTTTCAGTGATGGCATCTTTGTCAAGACACATTGTTGTCCAAAGATACCTTTACATTTCATACAAGTAAACTGAGCCATTAGTTGAAGTCTTTCTGGCACATGAGATGGGAGGCCTGTTTGAGACAGCCTTTCTCAATCCTATAGGTCAAGTTGAAGGTTGTTTCAAGACCCACCAAGCTGAAACCGATATTTGAAAAGGCAGACAACTCCATCAAAGGTCCACAACAAAGTTGTGGCACTCATGCTGATGGAAGTAAAGGTCAGAACGGGCTGCAAGCAATAACAGACACATATTGGAAGCGATAACTGTCACACATGGAAGTGTCAGGAGCAATGGCACCTGCAATTCACTCGCCCATGGGTAAGGTTACGAAGTCACAGATTGACACAAGTGATAATCCATAGTCTGCCCCATAGTTTGCTTGTCATGTTTGATCAGCACCTGGAAGACAAGCTAACTATAATGTTTATCTGTACTTTTATACAGAATTATGTGACGAGTTATTATTTGCATTGTTGGCTGTTATTACATTACATGAAGACTTGATGAATTTTCATCAAAGCTTTCTGTGATTTTAGGAATCTCCTGAAATACAGCTGTGTAGGTCCAATGTTGGCGCTCCATAAGTAAACAAAGTCCAGAGAAGATGCATCAAGTTGGTTTGATGAACTTTGATGAATTTAGTGCACACCATGTCCTTAAGGACAGGGTATTTCTTCCGCAAGAGTATCACATCTGAGATACAACTGGGTACAACTCCAAGAACAGGGTTTTAGGGACCCTCAAGCTGTTATAGACCACCAGGTTCAAGACAACCTGGCTTCCCTTGTGCTCTAATTTGACCATGGTCACAGTTTTTAGTAGCACCATGAAGCTGATGCTGCTCTTTCAGTCATCTTGTGGAAAAAAAGAAAACCAGAAATCTTTCTATCCCATCCCCCAACGGTTCAGAGTCAGAGGTGCATATTCTGTGGCCATCACGTCCATACAAGACTCTTGGACACAGCCAGTACAGACCCACTGATACCTGAAATACGACTAGGGGTGATCACTCTATAGTTAAGGGCAAAAAACACCTAGAGAATATTTCAGACTTCTGACATTATCGCACATTCTCAAATTTCTTTGTGCAACTCACTCACGATGGACCACAGGTGAGGTTTCGCTCTCACGTTAGCTTCATGTTTTAAAGTCCAGCAGTAGCTAACAAAGAGCCTAATAAAAACTGGCAGAAAAAGTGTCATATGTTTTCGCCCTTAGTCATTTTTTGTGTCCATGTTTGCTTGTATGTATGTGTCATTGGTTGTTGAGATAACCAAGCCGCCGGCACAGTATCTCAAATATCTCGGCAATACAGAGAAGTATGGTGATAACAGTGAAAGTGTACATGGCACTGAGGAAGATGGTTTTTTCAAAGTGTTCGGGCACCATGCACTTAGTCACATTAAAGGCCTTTTCCAAAGCACTGGCATCACACATGTACAGTGGGTGGACCTGGGGGGGAAAAAAGAGACAAATGGGGCAGTAATACTTTCATAACTGTCTGAACGTCCAGGCACTAATTGTACAATCACTATATTTATCTCTGATTTATGTTGATGACACGTTATTAATCAATGATGGGTCATACTAAGCAATAAATCTTGCTGGCTGTACCTATCAGATACACCCCACAAACTACCTAGCATTTACTGGGACCAATTCCAGACAAGCCTAGGTTACTCAGGACTCCTGATCCATGCTGATATTGCAGTAAGTGAATTTTTCAACAGCACAGTAATGCTTCAAACTCATCTCACTATCAAGTTCTAGGAATTATCTTTCTTGTGAGCTGTTCTGGGTATCACCAGTTGGATATGGGGCAGCTGGGGCATCTCCTGGCCGGTCCGGGGGAGCTGATTGTTGTTGAAAAGGATGTAAGGGATAGCCTACTCTGCATCCCCCTTCACCCCAACGACCCTATCATGATAAGCAACTTGAAAATGGATGGATGGATACATAGCTATGACCTGGATCAGCACTCTACTGAGTTCATAAAGTTACAAAACAATTAAAAGTGACAGACCTGGAAGCCAAAGAGGTGGCTTTGTAGCCAGAAGGCGATGACTTCCAGAATGATGCGTAGGAGAACAGAAATTATATAGAAGACGGTGTAGATGGGTCGTTCGAGGATCTCCTCCTGATCAATGTTCTTACAGGCTGCGTAGAGGTGGAACACTGCCCCAGGAACTAGCACTGTTACCAGTTGTAACGCCCAGAAGACCTGGAGAGGGCAGAAATAAGGCAGGGAGAATGTGAGAAAAGCCTGAAAAGAGACAATAGGATAAAGAATGAAGGAATCATGAAATAGATGATGGCACAAAGCAAGAAAGAAGAAAACATTGAGAGGAGGTTGGAAGGATGAAAGGAAGGAAAATAGGTTGAGGGAAGATGGTGCAAAAATAAAAAAAGGGGTTTGTACATGTATTTTTCATCACTTGACACATTGGTGTAAATTGGCCATCGAGATGGAACAGGTAAATAAAATATGGTATTTATATCTTTGGTAACTGAGGCTGGCAGGGTCAATGATTTGAGTTGAGTTCAATGATTGCCGAAATGTTTAATTGCTCCCAAATTACAGCCTGTTATACCCATTTAGTTTAGTTTTACAATGTTAGCATCTGAGCTGCTGCACATAGCAGTGGCTAAAGATAGTTTTGCTTGTCTTATTTTAGCATAGTTTATATCTTACCCTATTTAGAGACAAATTAGAGAAAGAAAAATTAGCAGACTGTAAAGGTTGTACTAACAGGCTTCATTCCTGTGTAATTTAGTTGTACCTTTTGATTTAGCTGAGTTTAGTTCAATTCTAGCTAGCACCTAGAAAAACTATGGTTTCATGGGTAAGATTTTCAAAGCATTAAGATTATCTTATTTTACTTAGCAAAAATCTTGCATAATTTAGGTTAGCTACCTTTTATAGTTATAAAATTCTGTTTAGCTGCTGTGATCTAGCAGTATAAAGCCAGTTGAGTTTAGCACTACCTGCAGTAGCCAATGGTAGGATCTGAGCTGTTGTAGCTACGCTACAGATCGTAAAGCCAGGCAGATACTCAGCTGTTGAGACCAAAACAATATCAATACAATTTCCTATTATACAAAAAAAAAAACACAACATTTTTGTTAAGTATGTCTATGATTGTTATTAAGAATTTTATTAGGGACATTTTACAGATGTAAAATTCCCTTGTCAGAGTCCTCTGGTGGACAAAGTATGTAATGAAGTCACTGTTTTATCTCGAACATGTCTTTGTCAATTCTGATTTACAATTTTTTATGTTACATGTTGGCTAGCACAGGCTTAGTTAATATTGGCCGATATACGTCTGAAAGATAGTTCTATCTTATCCTTAGTGCTGTGTTATATTAGAATACTGGTTGTACCGGTGGACTACATTAATGTAGTTGCACCTTACAGTTAAGTTAAATTAAGTTAAGTTAAGTTAAGTTAAGTTAAGTTAAGTCATACCTGAGGTGTTATGGGTCTGAACTGGTTGTAGCAGTACAGGTTGAGCTCTCGGCGATCAGGGTCGCAGCTGAAGTGCAGCGCCTCATTCCCATAGACGGCAAAGCCAAGAACGCCCAGAAAGAACATCCGCACCGAGCCGAAGAACAAGGTGTGGAACTGGCCTATCACCGTAGGAGGCCTGAGCTGGAACACACACACACACACGCACATACACACACACACACACACACACACACACACAAAAATGCACAGAGACACATACAAGCGAGCGTGAACAGCACACACACAGGCACAATTACACAATGCAGTGCACATTAAAACACACACAGTCACACATATAATGCATGCAAACAAGCATTCACATTATCATGGCACAGACATGCGACACACAAATGTGCATAGGACACACACGCACACACACACACACACACACACACACACACACACACACATAGTCAGAGACAAAGAGAAAATAGCTTCTGTCAGCCAGATAAATGCAGCTGCAAAAGCGGCTCACTGAGGCCCTGAGCTCTGAAGGGTAAAACAAAACCCATTCAGAGGAAACATTTCCCATCTCCCCTCTTTACCTGCTCTGTTCTGACACTAACACTGAGTCATGTTTAGCAGAAAAAAAGGCCTAAATGACACTTTCACAAAGCAAAGAGCCTTTTGGCTTACAAATATGTCACTCAGCCCCATGAAGACAAAGGTAAAAGGAGATGGATTAAAAAGGCGAAGAATGTAAACTGATCAATGTCTTTTCATTTTGGGCCTCGAGAGGGATAATTGTTCCGCGTTGCTCCTCTGTAACTGTCAAATCCTGAACGGTAAGCTAGAAAGTGTCAGCGAGAGAGGCCTAGATGGAAGCAACAATAAAATCCCCACAGTCGCAGTCACATCGTGATCTACTTACGCATCCTTCATAGAAGTTTTTGATGTAGTTTAAAGACATGGTTTGCTTGTTGATCTCCCCTGCTCTGGGCCCTCATGGCCCGGTTTGCTGCTGGCACCAGTTAAAGGCCACCAACAGTCGGGCTCCCAAATCTCCAACTGAACCCTCTCCCTCTCTCTCTCTCTGTCCTGAAAGCCCGTGTCAATGCATATTTTTTTTTTTTTTTTTTTCGCCTTTTATCCCTCCATCAATTGACTCACTCAGTAGAAAAAGGACAAACGAGACTGAGGGGCCAACAATGGCCTGGGAGGGCATGTGGTCCCTGCATTATAATCCCTATAGAACTATGTCAGCAAAAAAAACAACCTCCTGTGGCACACAATGCAGAGAGAGAGATGGCAAACATGCAACAAAAATACAATGCACCTAGTTAGGTAAAGGATCATAGGAGCTCAACTGAACTTAATGGATTTTTCTTCCATTTTAAAAGTTACATTTAAGATTTTGAGCTTTATTCACAACAAATGTCTATTTTAGCTGAGTTAGAACTGAACAATTCTGATGCATATTTCTACTTTAAATATGATAAATAAATCAGTTATGATCATATTCACACTTTTTGACACAAAGATTACTTTTTGGTTCTTATGGAGTTTGTTTTTCATTTTTTGTTTTATATGAACACATGACTAAATCTCTATTACCAAAATAAAGAGTCAAAAACAATGATGACAACACACCCTGCACTGCAAATACTTCTGGAAGAGCATTGACGGAGCTGCTGTTGTCCCAAATACAGTCCCTTGGCGAGCCACGAGCGACCGGCCACCAACACAGAAAGAAACCAACGATCAAAATTCAAATCCCAAAAGCCAAAACTGGACAAAGTGAAATAAAATGGAAGTCCACACACCAACCGTAATCCTGGCGGCGTGTTGTTCATTCCCCCCTCTTTTTTCCACTCAGGGATCCTAAACTCATGCCAGTTGCGGGACCTTGCGGGACAGACAGCAGAGTCAAGTCAGAGGGAATTAACACGGTGCACTTCCGCTCACATTATTCAAAATAAACACAGGCGCCCGAGAAAGAATGGCCTCAAAATGTACAGGCTTGTAGCCTGGGCTGCTGTATAAACTCAACACCAGGAATGGAAATCAAATAAAACAAAAATAAATGAATGGAAAGGGTCATTGTAGCTGTTTAATATGTATCCACTGGAAAAGAAAAATGAAATACCTTTTAACATCAAAGTATGATGTCGGCTATAGGTAAATACAATTGGCTATAGAAACATCTACTTATAAAATCATAAAAACTGTTTATACTGATATAAAACATTTTAATGAGCCACAAATAGAAAAGAAGCTGAAAAACCTGAAGCGGAAACACATGAAGAAGTGTGTAATTTTTTTTCATTAAGAAAATTGTGCATAGAAATCCTCAAAACGCTTAGTGTTCGTTTTATTCTGAAGGCCCACTCCCGCAGCTTCCGGCGTCACTCGTCCTAACTATGTCAAACTTGATACAACTTTGACCGCAAACTTCTGGCTCGTAAGGAAGCCAGAGGACAGAACCTGTGCGTCTTGGCTCAGACGCTAAGTTTCAACTTTATTTGTCTCCGGGAGTCGACTGATTTCTGACTGTGACGCGATGAAGTCACAAAAACATCATGACTGACTGATCTGATCTGAAGTCAGCTGATTATGGGATTTTTTCACAGAAAAATAACTAAGACCACACAACCTGCAACAATAGCGCACACACAGCGCACAGACGCTTCCATTCATTTACTGATGACTAAAAACATAGAAACCTTCATCAGTCACGAGATAAGATAAGATAAGATAAGATAAGAAAAATTAAGATAAGAAAAGTTAAAGTAAGTTTTCACCTAGATTTTGTGGAAACTAATGTTTGCAGTATTTTTTGTTTTGCCATTATATAGTCATGTGCAACTATTATACCCAGCAGCTACCTATCATTAAGCTTGTTAGGGAATTACATCTACATTCAACCATCCGAACAAAAGCACACATGATAATGCACAGGGTTTGACAAAATGGAAACAAACACAATCATTGTAATTATTATTACTGAAAGTTCTATATTTCAAGATTTCAGATTAAACAGTTTCTGTTTCTAAAAATTCAAAAGAAATTTCAAAAGTTTCTAAAATTCTCATCTTATAATAACATCAATCATTTGAAAACCGACCAGTGTGAAAAACCATTTTACATTTTCTAACCACCAAAGAGACGATCCATGTATGCTACACTATCCTGTCCAGTTCTGTGGTAAATAAAGTTGGGAGATGTTTTTAGATTTTAACCTGGACTCCTCTGGGTGCAATCCAAAGGCGATCACAGAGATATGAATAAACTAACTTACTCCTTTCAAATGTAACATGAATGTATTCCTAATGAGTCTCATGTTTAATAAAAAATATCGTCTTGCAAAGAAGAACATCCCGCACACAGCTCTTGCTCAGCGTCACAATTTATTGATCATCCTAATAATTTAGTCTCTCTTCGTCAGAGATGTTAAGAAATATCTCACATGTTGTTACTTTCATTCTCTAAGGACCAGTCAGATCCTTGCTCGAGACCCACGCATAATATATTTGCCTGTTTTCGATTTAAACCAGGAATATTAGAGAAATCACACAAGTACCCAAACCCTCCTCTAAGTGACTCAGCATAAAGGCTTCATCAAAGAGCATCAAGTGTCCTCTTAGCACCTTCAGTTATCCCCACTCATTTCAGTCTGACAGAAGCATGATCAACTCTGGAACATGCTGCCACTTCCTGTTTGACTCTCAGGTGATTTAAGATAGAGAGTAAACCTACAGCAGAAAAACCAGGCCTGTTGGTTGAACCGGCTGAATCAGTCCATAAACACACAAAAAGCCAATTTCTGATAACTCTTGAATTACGTACGCCTCTAAATTAAGTGATCGGAAATGACCTCCGGCTCATATTCCAGCTCATGTGGTGGCAGGTCTTTACGCTGCCATCTGCAGACAGAGACACGCTCAGCCCGTGAGAGTGAACTTTAAAGTCCATTTGTGTTCGCTGAAGCATCAGAGTGACAGGCTCCAGATGGTAAAGCCTCACAGTGCCGGGGCAAAACTAGAAAAATGTGAGGAGAGAGAGTGGAGCTAAAAAAGCTCATGGTTGGTGAATGAATCACAGACTCCCAGGCTTTCACCTGTATGTTTTCTCTTTCACTTCAGATGAGGTGTTAGTCAGTAAAAGGCTTTTCTGAGAGCTGCTTTTGTGTGTGACTTGTTTCCTGAACATTCGCCTCATTTAACAGGACGATGATCAGGGACTAAACTGCCTGCTGTTTTCAGAAGTGCAGAGTCAAACCACGAGAAGTTTTCCTCCAACCGGAACAACCATTTCAACCCTCTGATACGGCCCAAGTGTCTCCTGGAATAGTGCATAATACTGCAGCAGGTGGTATCAGACCTTGGTTGCCATGGTTACTATAATAACGGTCATGGCTTGGTGAGACTAAGGAAAAGATCATGATTTGGGTTGAAATAAGTAGTTTCTCGACATTAGACGATCTCTTTGTCATGGTTACAATAGTAACAAGATTAAACGGTCACGTAAAATAGAAAGAACATAACCTGCTACTTTCACATGGGAAGTGAACACCCCCCAAACCTCCTCCTGATGTGGACTTTGTCTCTCCTCCTGTCTTACTACGACCACTAGATGTCGCCTAGCAACAAAATCTAACTATGGGTGATAATTATGAAAGTATTTTTGGTGCAAAACAACTGATCACCTGTGACAGTGAATTTTTCAGTTATATAAAATAGTCACACATGTGTATCAGTAAGTTTGAGGTCACAGAAAAAAGATGCTCTAGGAGTTGCACACTTGTAGATTTTTTTCCCGCCCACAAACACAACACAACAGTTACACCTTCTCAGATTCTTCATTGCAGGTGCACACATCCTGTTTTACAAATCACAAATTAAGAAACTCATACATTCACATTTTTGCTACGGTTGGACACGGAAGGACATAATAATATGACAACAATTATAACATAATAAATATCAGAGTAACAATAGTGAAATGTAAAACTACATGTAGTGCAGTTCAGTCCTCATTATGTCCAACCAACGGGTGGGCGTGGCTTGAGGTGCCACAGGTACAGATCCCTTTTGCTCCACATTTGGTGCAAAAGTCAGAGTGTGCAGAACTTACCATTTGAGACTCGTAGCGGAAGATTCAAGCAGTTGTAGTTACTGACTTGTGTTTGTGCGATAAAAAATATCCAAGAATAAAAGTTTGTGTGAAACATATTTTACAGATGTGCAACTCTCATCGCATGAATTTACATTCTGATCTGCAGATGTGCAAATTTTGTCAATGACTTCACATTATTTCATATGGGTGTGTGAATGCGTTTTGCGCCACATTCACTGCAGCAACTGGAGCAAATATGTCATCATACCATCATCATACCATAATAACCTGCTGAGTAGACGACCTATGGGCTCGTTTGTCGACAGTGCCTGAGAAAGGTTCGATCATCCTGCAACATTTCTGACCACAGGACAGATTTTTGTTTGTATTAGTTTGTTCTCCCTCCTTCTATTTCCCCCTCTACATCCCTGGTAATTGTTGGAAACAAACCAGATCAGAGGAAACCTGGACCATTTAATGATACGCTGATTAGTCCACACAAGGTATGAACTGCTGGGTTTTTGCATGCAGGTGTTAGTAGACGATAAGGCCCCTAATCTCTTTTACCCTACTATTCACGCTTCTCGTGGACTCCTTAATGTGTGTGTGTGTGTGTGTGTGTGTGTGTGTGTGTGTATGTGTGTGTGTGTGAGAAATCCTTCAATTAGTTTGCAGTTACTTCTCCACTCTCAATATCATCACAGGTTAGTATTTAACCAATCATCACTTAATCATTTGACCCATTATTCCTCAAACAGGCATTATTTAGCACAGATACTTTAACCGTTTAGTGAATATTTTGTCTCTTTAAATGAAAAGATGTTGGATTAAAAACACAAATAACCCCAAAATACT